GAAAAAAAAACCTGTACTTTTGTCTGTGTAAGTAGTCTTGAATTAATTAGGTTCACAATTTTTTATTAATGTGCTTGCAGTACAGAATAAATGCAAGTTGTTGCATATGCATATCACATCTTGATCCTTTTTACTTCCCCACCTCCCCTCCCTCCTATTTCCCCATCCTTAGATCCTCCTCACATCTCCATAAATCCATCTCGCTGATTCTTATCATTTGTCTTTTATTTTGCTCTTTATTTATATTCTGTATTTCTCATGTAAAGAAAATTACACGATGTTTAACCTTCTCTCAGACTTATTTCGTTTAGGATTAAGGTCTTGAGGTGCAACTATTTTCGTACATTTTTTTTTGTTTTTGTTTTTATGGTAGCAGGGATAGAACCTATGGCTTTCACATACTGTTAATTTGGGAGCAATGTTACCAACAGTTAGTATTGCTTAAGCACTTTGTTTTTTCTGGCACTCTTTTAACATTAATAGGGCCTAAGATTTTATAACACAAAATCTTTGTTGTAGTTTGGTGTGTACATTGATTCTCAATAACTTAGTAGTATGCAGGGAGTTTTAACTTTGAGTTGGAGCAGAGTGGTGCTAGGTTATAGAGATGAGGTCCAATTCTCATTCATCCATGTGTTCATTTAAAAACAAAACAAAACCTAACTGATCTTTTCTTGATTAAGCAGGAGGATACCGTATTTACCCTTTATTGTTGGTATAGACCATTATTTTACTGAGAACCATTAGCTATTTAAAACTTGGTACATAAATTAAAGAGGAGCTAAATGGATTTTTGATCGTTGCCATTAGTAGCATTTTAGATTATACAGGCAATTATTGTGTTCATTATCCTAGAAAAGCCCCTTTGCAGAGCCATTGTGGATGTCTTAGACATTATGCACAAATTTTCCCTTGGAGATTAAAATTTCCAGTAGCGTATTTAATTTTGTTATCACAGTTGCTTCAAATAAAACAAATATTATGACAAGTAGAAGAAAATTTGCTTTACTAATATAGAAAATTACAATAAATGTTGGAGATTACTTCCTACTGTATTTAATTTACCTTTTCTTATATAGTCATAATTACTTCAAGTGATTAATACTATATTTTATGGATAAAAAGGTTTTATAATCATAGCAGATGGTATCTGGTTTGTTAAGGTATTCAAGAAATTCTATAGAAAACACATTCATACCAGAACTAAAGTTACCATTTTCTTTGTAGACTCTTTGTAAATTAACTAGTTTTTATTTTAAATAGCTTTGAGGAGTCTAAATTATTTTTTATTTCATAAAATTTTTTGTTATTATTTGTTTGCAGTAAATAATATTTGCATACCTTGTGTGGCATTTGGTACATCATTTAAGAGTATTTCAGAGAAATTAAATCTAAAGATTAATTATTAATTAGAAGTGGTTTAATAAGTGTTGAAATACATTTTTTTCTCCTCACTACTTTATTAAAATTGACCAAAAGGTTGAGATTGCACTGTGTGTTATAACTTGGTTCCAGTTACACTCCATGAAGAGTAGTCACAGTTCAGAAAGATGCAAGCAACACCCCATTGTTTCAAAGTTGGATATGACTCTGCTATACTTGTCATTACTTTCTTTGAATTAGGGAATGGAGGAAGACTGCATTTAGTTGGCTTCAAAACTGTGATATTCACTGGTGAGACAGTTGACCACATCTGTCTCGGTCAATTAGAAAGGTATTAATGCCTTGAATTATCCAAAAATCCGTGTGCAGTGGGCTGCTTTTAATGTTTCCATCCTTGTGGCATTTTTTCAAAGGAAACTTTGTATTCATTTCTGAGTGGTTTTGTCGCAGCTTTTAGTCTTTCATTGCTATGGTGTAGGGGAAAAAGTGTGAGGTAGTGGTTATGCATTTTGCAAGACAGTGATTCTTTATTTTATTACAAAAAAAGACCAACTCTGGAAGGCTAGATTAAATCATTCCTTTCACTTTTTAATGGGATTTGGATGAATAGAGTAAAATATGCACTTTGCATTCATTGATAGCATCTTTAGGTTGAGGTAATTGAGTCTTTTTTCCCTGACTGAATGAATAATGACTTCATCTGATCCTCAGTGAGGCCTGAAACTTAGACCGCCTTTGTCACAGCAGAAAGATCTGGGATTTGAAACATGCTCTACTTCCCTGGCTTAATTTTTCTTCATTTTAATCCAAAAACCTATTTTTCTCAATAATTCAAGCATAAACTATGTAATGGTGAAGCAGCGGAAATTGCACGATATTTGTCCTCCTTGTGCTGCTTTTTAAATGGAGCTGATAAATCAGCTGCTGTGATCTTGAGCTGCTTCGTTCTCAAGGGAAGGCACAGACCCCGCACAGGAAACAACATGGAGAATTTCAGAACTCGTTAACTATAGTTCCTTCCAGACTGTCCATTATCTAGGGAAATGGTAGATTTAACTCTTTTGCTGCAAGACTTAGAGATAGATAAAGGAATGCCTGTGCTGGAGCTTCGAGATGCTCTTGTGGACTAGTCCTCTACAGGATTTGTGTGGTTTGAAGGTGATGGATCTGTGACTGTACTAAGAATTAGAGCATAATGTATACTTTTGGGAAAATGCTAAGTTGAGATCATGCATTTTTTGAAGAAGTTCTGTGAGAAATGAGCTGCTGTTTGTGTTTCTGTAACAGCAACAGTAAGCTGAGTTCTATAATGAACCACATTTATTGTTAGAAGTGAGGAGACATTCCTATAAAATTGATGCATAATTTCTGTTTGAAGTTTCCTCACTTAGGCTGTGGTGGTGTCAAAGACACAAAGTGAGTAAATGAGACCACACTGCAAATGGACCAGGCTCATTCCCCATATCACTTCTACATAGTGAGGGCAGAAAGACATCTAGGAAGGGACACCCATGTCTCCCAACTCACCCTGCAGACTCTACACTGTTCTGTTAGATGTAAGCTTGGAATCTCTGTGCTAGACAGTTGTCAGTCAAATTGTATCTAGATCTCTGTTAATATTCTGTGTTTACCAGTGGTAATGCTAATGATCAGTTTCACAATGAGATTTAAAAATAACCCAGTGAGAGAAGAAAATTACCTATTTTCTATTTTTCTTTTATATAATATATATTATTGTTGTCCATTTTATTTTTTCCTACTAGATGAGCTATTTCTTACAGGTAAAAAAAAAAATCTCAGAATTACTCATTTTTATAACCTTAGAGTTTAGCATAAAATGTAGTGGACCTGTAATTATTTATTTATTTAATTTTCTTCACAGCTGGACTTCATTGGCTTTTTGACAGTTATATTTTTACTGAGGATAAATTGTCATGGTTTCATGAGAATTTGTTGCAAATATTAATCAAAACCATGTATAAATTATGAGTTCCAGAAAAGGGTAGCTTGCTACTGGCTGATGTTACAGGTTTGCAAAAAGCACTATGAAAGAAGCCAGGTTATTAACTCAGCAATTCTCAGACTTTTAATTTAATACGTATAGTATCCTATTTATTTTTTATCAAGGTTTAGGCAGTCATGTTTTTGGGTTTGTTTGTTTGTACTTGTTTTCAAAAACTGTGCTAGACTCAGGAATTCAGATAGCAAAGAAATGTCTAGCCTGTTAGGCTTCAGTGTACTGTTCAGATTAGGCAAGTCAGTACAGGCCATTACTTTCTGTTCGTGCTGTTGCCAGGCCTCACCCCAATGGCTGTTTCCTCTCAGCCTGGCATTATGTATGCCGATGGCATCTCAGCTTCTCTAGCTACCTTACCTAATAGGTGGTGCCATTTTATAGATGAGAATAGTGAGATTTAAAAGAGTTTAAGGATAGTCCCCAGAGTCACATTCTGCAAAGAAACTTGATTCAAATATAGTTGTGTAATGGTGACAACAGCATGCGTGTTGGCCTTTCTGAGTGACAGGAGCTGTGTGCTGTGTGTCCTTCATGTTATTTCTTCTCCAGTTGGGGAGGTACTGCTATAGTCCCTATAGTTAAGACAACTAAAGCTCACTTAGCCCAGGGTTATACAGCTCAGAGGCAGAATCGCTGTTTGATTCAGCTTATTGCAGAGTTCTGGAAATCTCAGTCATGTGCTCCTTCCCTTTTCCTGTCTAGAGGCCTTCTTGCAACACCCAGTTGCCCTGTGCGTACATCAGCCCCACACATTGTATTGCACTGTGATCTTTCAAGGATGAAACTAAGCAATGAGAAGTAGTTTGCAAAGATTGCTAGAGCTCAAAATTGAAGTTACATGCTTCAGAAGAGCCATATTCTCTTTACTTGTAGAAAGAGAGCTGATTAGGTGGCTAGTTCTCACTGTTTCCAAGATCAACAACAACAAACGAACTACTTCTTACTGATAGGATTTTTCTCACATTTTGTCAGCTTGTAAATGATCCACAGAATGAATTTGAGTAGTGTGTTTTATTAGGAGAATCTGAAGTGTGGGATTTGTGCGAATTGAAAAGGTTTTTAGTACAAGTTAACTACCTTCTGTTACCTTTTTTTATTTATCAGAAGTCTTCTCAAAACTTGCGGATGGTGCTCACACACACCTTTCCTGTTTGGGGGAGCCTCAGTCTGAATAAAATCCTTAAGCAGGGGTTTGCAGAGACCCTTGAGAGTGACAGTATGACCATGACCTGATATATGCCAAAGGAAATAGGCCTTTGCTCACAGAACTTTTTTTAGGGCAGGGCGCTGGGCAGACCACTGATCATGATACCATTTACCCAGAGGACTTGACTAAGTGGTTGGGATGTGGCCTTGCATTTGTCAGCAGACCCTTCTAGGAATGTTCCGGACAACATGATTTATTTTCAGAAATTCTGCTTCAATCTATAAGAGGCTTTTGAGGAGAAAAGTTAGTACAATTTTGTATTTCATCATTATAAAAACAAATATAAAAATCCTTAAGTCTTTTTATGCCATCATTATCATGTCTTCTAATTCATAATATTAGGGATGTGTGGTCAGCTTCATCATGTATTAAAGTTGTGCTCTTTTTTTTCAGGTTGGTTTGTTGGACCTCGAGCTCAATCAGCTGACAAAAGCTCTATTTCTGGCTTTAGTTGTTCTTTCTGTTGTTATGGTAACATTACAAGGATTTGCAGGTCCATGGTACCGCAATCTTTTCCGATTCCTTCTTCTGTTTTCCTACATCATTCCCATAAGGTAGGTTTAAGAATTAAAATAAGACACATATCTGGTTTCATAGCTCATGATTTTGCTGAAATTTTTTTTCCTCAGTGTGAAAGAAAGGATCCAAACAAGGCTAAAGAGAAAGAGAGCAGGCAACCTGATGAATCTGAGGAGTCTTTTTATAGAAATAGCATTTGAGGCATAGTTTTGTTAAAATAACCTAAGGATCTACACTTTTCCTGATGGGGATGTATTGATAATATAATTTTCAACAATTGGGATTTCTTGCACAAATCTGAATCTGAGAGGGTAATTTTTATTGATTACTGAAAAACATTTTGTTCCCAGTACTCTTGGATCTGTGTGTGTCATTCACATTTCAAAATTACCTGTATTTAAAGGAAAATCTGGTATATCTTTCAAGTTAGATAAAAATATTGAGTAAGGCAGTTTTGAAATAACCATTTTTCAAAATGAGAACCTGTAGAAGTAGAGGTTAGGATATAAATAATATTATTTTTAATGTCTATTTTAAAGACATTTATAATGTAAACATTTACAAACCATTTTTACATATTTGTAAAATGATTATCTTTAAAAAGATATCCTTAATATGTATGCTTGAAATTTTTCATATGAATAATTGAAAATGAATCACAGATAAAGTATGAATGTAGAGTAGCCATTATTTGTAAAATAGAATAAAATAAAACAGGACAGCACTTAGGCTGCGACATGTCTTAATTTATATGAGGGCTTGCCCTAAAATCTCTCAAAATTCTGATATCTTCTTTATTCATAGAGTTCATAAGCAGGAGCAACAGTCGGTTACAGAGTCTGTGTAATATGCAAGTTCATATATAGTTACTGTGAGTCACTCCAGCTGCTCTTGCTTCCTCTTCAAGGTGTGAGCACAGCCTCCTTTTGTAGCAGTGTTCCCCCAGAGGCTCCCTGTGTGCAGTGCTGTTTACTGCTGGTGAAACAGAAGAAAAGACACATGTTAGCAGCTGTCATTATTGTTATTAAAATCACTGCTCTTGTGGAACTTCCTTACTTCCTAACACTGACCCCTGAGCCTGCCATGTTACTTCAGCTCACAGGCCTTACCTAAACTGGCCTAGCATATCTTCTCTGCTCTTCTAGCATGCCACAACCATGCCAGCATTCCACGCTCCTTTTTCTTAGCTGTGCTGTCTCAGTGCTCTTGTACCTACAGTTAGTCCCGTTTTGTCACTCACAGATATTTATTTACCTAAATAATTGCTTTGGAGATACCTTAGTTCTGACCAAAAACTCTATATCAGGCTGTCCCGTCAGCCTTTGAGTTCTGTGTGGGTCTCTGTCTTCTTTGTTGACTGTTTTTCTAGTCCACTGACTTCCAGGAGGATAGTGACCCTAGCTTGGTGCATCGGATTTGTAACCCTTGTGCCAGAGCCAGGTGGCATGGTGTATGGAAAGGGCTCCTGAAGTGCTTGTTAACTGGATGGACCTGTCCAGTTTTGGGAAACTGAGCTTGTACAGATGATCATAGTTGTCATCCAAGCACATACATACTGAAGCCACCAGTGGGCTTTGGAGAATCATCTTTGTCCCCAAAAGCTCCACTGGATAAGGGGCCTTAAACAAAGTGTTTCAATACAATCAGATAATTGTTTTATTTAACAGTCATTCCAGAATTTACTCAGTCAAATATTCATGGATCAGTTCCCAGTTAGAATGCATGCAGCCTCACATGTCACATGTCAGGCCTCAGTCCCAAGCCCCTGCAACATCTCATCTTGTTCCACCATGGGATGACATTCCTCCCAAGTGTTTCCTCCTCCTCTGTTTCCACATGTACAACCCTCATCTCCACTTTCACATCACCCACTGTCATTGAAGAATATAGGTTAGACGTTCAGTTAGATATCCATTTATTTAGGTTATGAAGTTCCCTGCTTTTCAGTTTCTACCTGGTGGAAATGTGTGTTTCATGCTAAGCATGCTCCTATGATCTGGGCTGAGGCCAGGGCTGTAACCATCTCAGGTAGGGCTGTAGCTGTATTTGCTTAAAGGAGCACCTCCATGGCTGAAGTAGATGTTCAGCCTGAGAACCTCTGCCGAAGATGATGGGTTAATTAATGAATTCTAATTTCCAAAGACTGTTGATGGACATTTTAGAAGTATCATCTTTTGAATTATATTATAGTATTTGCTCATTTTTATTAGAGCTTAGTGCCAGGATTTAGCTCAGTGGTTCTGCCATCTGCTTTGTAAGCACAAGGACCCGAGTTCGATTCCTGATACCAAAAAAAATTAGAGCTTAGTGATAATGTGTTTTGGGGATTCTTCTAGAAATTACTTTCAGATCTGCATAGCACTGTGTTTTTGTTACTATTCACATTGTGATTTGATGCATGCTAAGTTTTATAATGGCTCCATGTATGTTTAAAAGTACATTAGAAGGATCTTGTTAATTCTAACTTTTGATACTGTATATATGCTTCTCCTTTTTAGAAAAATCTTTAATTACTAACAGTATAAAATCTATCCCTCTGGTAATGTGCTTGTTCATTTCTTCTTGTCGTTTATCAACTTTAGCTTTATATATTTTAAGGCTATCTTACAGGATATTTACAGGTTAGAAATTCTTTTGTCTTTATGGTGGATGCACATCTCTTCTAAATCACAGGTAGCAATTGATTGATTGATTTGATGTTTTTTAATACCATATGCCAGCCTATTTTATATTTTTATAATGTATTGATTTGCTGTATTTGCATTTATTTCATATTTATTATGATTAATTTGTATATTACCTTTTTTGTTATTTTTTAAGTTCTGTTTTTTGGGTTTTTTTTTCTGTAAGCTTAGATGTATTACCTTTTCTGTTCTTGTGGTTTCTCTACAAAGCCCTGGGCCCTAGGCTTTTGGAATTATCCCAGTAGCAAAGGACGCTTGTACTTAGTCATTCTGCATCTCCCTGACACTGTCTTCTTTCAAAGAGGAAGATGGGCTATGAACAATGTAAATATTTATAGAAGAATGTCACTTGTGATGTTTGAAATAAGACATGGAAATAAATTACTATTATTCACAACCAATATTACTGCATTTTATTTGCATGTAAAATGATAAGCAATGCATAATAGCTGTGATAAGTGTTGTGGCCAGTAAATAACAGCATTGTTGATGCTCATGAATGTCCAGACAAATTCAGTACCCTTTCCTTTTTTCTAGCTGGAGATAGAAATAAACACTTAAGCAAATAAAATGCGTATATAGTGACAAATGTTATTATTAAAACAAAATAGGACATAGGGCCTGAGAGAACCTCTTGGGACTCGGGAAGGAGGGATCTTCTCTGACTTGATGGTCATGGAGCTCTAACCTGTATAAGGAACCACCAGGAAAGGAAGGAAAGGCAGTTCTAGGCAGAGGAAGAGAGTGGCCAAGATGGTAATTGACTGTCTGCTCAGTAACGCCTGGTGCCACACATGCTTCTTTGTGCCTTGCCCACAGTAATCTGTGTAAGACACCCACTCCCATGTCTGTCTAAAGAGCATTATCTTTTCCATCTTTTCTTAGAAGTCTCCAAATTTCCCTTTTTGCTTTTATGAATTTTGTTATTCATTTCATTTGATTTGGGGATATTGTGGAATGTTCTGTGATGTCATTTTCAAGACTGCTTTGGATTTACAGAGTAAGAGGCTATTGGGAATTTATTCCTTTTTTTTCTATTATATTTCTTAAAGATTATCTCTGATCACTTTTCTTTAGTAATATAACAGTATAAAAAGACTTGACTTTTTTCTCCTGTATCCAAATAACAAGGGAAATTCATTATAATTAGGAAATCTAGTATATGTTGTAAAGCTTCGTTAAACTAAATTTCTACTGTTTTCATATTTGACTGATAATATACCAGTAGCAAAAAAGAAAATGCCCAAAAAGAAAAGAAAATAAGTATTATCTATAATCTATGTCTAGCTAAATTCTGTGAAGGCTTTTCATTGTTTTTATAGACTTATGAATAATATGCACATATATAGATATATAACAGGTATTACTTTTTTAGTTTGTATATTCTTTTAAAATATATGTTTACAAAATGAGGAAGATGCCAAGCTCTCCTAAAGGCTGTCTTGCTCTAGTTTTTCAGTGAGCAATTCTATATTTAACATGTTCAGTCAAGCATGCAGAAACTTACTAGATAGAATTATAACTGCATCTCTGTTTAGCTCCAAAATATCTCACGCCTACTCCAACATAATACTTTACATTGTTTTTCACAATTTGAGAATGCAGCTGTACAGATTTAGCAGAAGGAGTGAGAACTGTAAAATGTGAAAAATATGCGATGCTGACTGAGGGAATTAAAGCTTATATTTGATTAAAACACATGTATTTTCCTTTTGTCAGGTCTCCATAAAATGTGGATAACAATACATTTTAGTGTTTGCTAAACATATTATTGGATTTAATAAAGGATAAGACTTTTAAATACATATATTCCTTGTTTTGCAAGGTATGCAAGCCTGGAAAGTAAAATTTTTTCTTTCTACTATCCTACCACTTTTTGAAGGCTTTCACATTTTCAAAATTTAGGCTATTATATAAAAACTACTCTGTGCAAAATAAAATATTTTGAGTTAATTGATATAATTTACATTGTCTTTCAAAGGAAAAATTTCGTGATTTAACTTTTTATTTTTGTAATTCTAAAATTAATATGTTTCCTAAATCCTGTGCATCTCTCAGAACAAAGAGCAAACTGTCAATTCTTTATAGTTCGCTTAAAGTTCCCTCCAGTTAGGGGCTTTTCTCTGTAGTTATTGCTACTTTTAGCCTTATGCTTTGAAGTGCTGTGTAACACTCTAGTTGATAATCTAAAAATTGTCCTGTCAGTGTTGGATGAAAAGATGTTTACTCTCATGTGAGGCATACGTGGCCAACAGTGGCCAAATACTGTTTGACAAAGTGGTGATTGTGTTTCTTCTGAGAAACACTTATGAACCTCTTGGAGATACATTGTCTTTGCTTAAAGCACTAAA